TGTTCTACACATCTATGTTTGTCGAATCTTGAAAGATGAACTGCTACGAAGTCTTTCTATTTAACAATATGAAATTCTATTTACTTCATAGATCATCACGATTCTAGCTTCTCAGATATAGAATTTAACACAGACTAGGTGGCCGAGTGGTTAAGACGACAGACCGCTAATCCAATGGGCTATGTACTCGTAGGTTAGAATCTCATCGAATTAATTCATATTGTTTTGGCGCGAATAAGAAAATGCGTATATAGAACCAATCAACCAACAAAATATTTAACCTATCAATTATCTTGCGTAAAATTCATAATTTTATGGTACAAGAGCATTAATATTTAGAATCTTTCATCTGATTCTTTTTCACAAGAAGATATAATGCTATTAAAAACTAAAACTATCAATTCAGAATAGCCCATCAACACCTCTTATATGATGTTATTTTATTGTGTGACATAAAACAACAAAAGCATTATAGTTAATTTAGAGGAAGGATGAAGTGAGCCTAAAGTTTATTGTCACAAAATTTAAGTGACATCGCATATCACAGTTACTGGTGAAAACAAAACTACGACGAACTTTTTCTTCTTTTTTTTAAATACTATTTGAATCCCTTCCTTTTCGAGGTTAAATTAAACGTCACTATGTAAGTAAAAATGACGGAAAGATGAGATTCATTACAAATACAAATATCATAGAATTCTGTCAGTCAGTAATAGAAATTGAGGAAATCTACAACTGACAGTGCAGCTTATTCTGGAGCCAATTCATTATCAGACGAGTTATCTTCATAGAGATTTCTAATTTTTCTAGTAGTATAGTGTGACGTGACTGTCCAACTAAATTCAAGCAACAAATAAATACAAAGTTCATCTGTGGAAGTGATAAATTGTAAAATGTTTTCCAAGGTGACATAGAAAATACTGCAGAATTTACTGAAAATTTATCTGTTTTCAAAGAATTGCTGGAGACTTGTATCAATCGAAAGCAGCACCTTGCAAGTTAAGAATATGAGCATGAGCCAACTATTGCTGCACAACAACAACAGTTCAGAATTTTT